TTCCTTGTTTTTTTTGAAAAATTGTTTGCGCAAAACTATGTAGGTAAAATTAAGCTGAAAATCGGAAAATCAAGGAAATCGAAAGTTCGCGCGAAAATATACAATTATATGCTCGGAAACTACAAGAAATTTTCTAAAATATTCGTCCAATTTCAAGACCTGACGAACCGGTAATAACATTTTTTTTACTAATACTATAAGTAGGGTTGCCAGACGTACTGCTTTTGGGAGCAAACGTACTCCTTTTATTGCAATGTACTCGCTTGTTCTCCAAAAACAAAATCTGGAAATGTACTCCTTTTTTAGTTTTGTACTTCTTTTGTACTCCTTTTTCCAGCTATTCATTTTTTATCATATATAGGGTGTAAAATAATAACTGTCGCACAGGTTTTTTTTTGAAAAATAAAAGTGTCCTTAATGATTTTGCGAAAAAAGTATTTTACTGTTAATTTTCTACAGTTTTTACTTAAATTTTATTAACTAACTTTTAAATTTTAACCTTTATTATGGTTTACCAGCGGTAAAAACTTTGAGAGAAAAGCGCAAGTGGCACGCAAGTCTTCGTCGGTTACCTTATTACATATCCTCTGTAACCATAGGCTAATTTCCTCAATTTGAATCCTTTATACTCCGCCTTTTGTCTAACATAAAGCATCATACCCAACAATCGGTGCCATCACATAGGGCCAAGTGGCATAACTCCAATTTTAAAATTTGGGATTATGTCAGTCCTTGTGTAATGATATAAGTCCAATTTTTATACCGGAGCGCACTTGTGCACAAGGGTATATTAACTTTGTTCACATAACGGTTGTTTGTAACATGCAAAACGAATCGAGATAGATATAGACAAATGTATACATAAATGTTCAGAATGAATAGAGAAATCGATTAAGCCATGTCTGTCTGTCCGTCCGTCCGTGTACACGATAACTCGAGCAAAAATTAAGATATCTCAACGAAATTTGGTATGTAGGTTTCTGTTAATCCAAGGTAGGTTGGTATTGAAAATGGGCAAAATCGGACTGTAAGCACGCCCACTTCCCATATAACGGTAATTTCCAGAAATACGCAAACGGCGATATTTTAGTAACTACTGAAGATAATTCACTCAAAATTGATATTTACAATAACTTTCAGACGAAAAATAAGAATTTTATTAATTTTTGGAAAATGGGCGTAGCCACGCCCACTTATGGTTACATGTGTATATCTTGGCAACCGCTGCACCGATTTCATCCAAACTTGGCACAGTTATTGGCCCTGGTACAGCATACCAAACGGCCGAAAATTTTTTAAATCGGACAATAACCACGCCCACAGTCCAGAGGGTAATTTAGAGAAATACGAAATCTTCGATAAATCAGTAAATATTAAAGCTAATTTATTCAAAATTGACGTTTGCAACAATTCTTTACCAAGAAATACGCTTATGGTAAAATTTTGGAAAATCGGCGTGGCACCGCCCACTTATGATCACATATATGAATATCGGTAACCGTTCTACTAATTTGTACCAAACTCGGTATGGTTATTGTGCTTGCCACATAAAAGCAAAGCGTTGAAAATTATTGAAATTGGACTAAAATTACGGCCGCTTTTCATATAACGGTAAATTTCAGAAATGCTTGAAACTACAATATTTCGAAATTTAAGGACGCTAATTTACTCAAAATTTATACACCCCGGCTTATCACGTAGCGGTAGCTTTCGGAAAGGTGAAAAACATATATGTATTTAATACTTGCGCCGGGTATTTAATGTTCGGCTCCGCCCGAACTTAGACTTTCTTACTTGTTTTATCATAGAAATGTACATTGATACGAAAAAGGTAACAAAAAGGTGTATACCAGGTCACAGAGGAGCCCAAGACAACTTTGCCTGGTTCTGCTCACAAGGCAGCAATTACTACACTGGGGAATTGTTGAGAGCATAAAGTCAATATATAGACTCTACCTTGAATGCGAGGATTGGCTTTAGACATAGATAAGTTCGTTTTAAATATATAATAAGGAACTCCTCCAAAGGTTGTTTTAGGATTTATCAGGATAACTGAAGAAGGAACCTTAGAGGTTTCTGTCACAAGACTGACCGTATTCGCTGTATTGTCTCACCCGGGGAAACCGACGCCCACTAGATGTTCTAGTGTTGCTTCGGTGTACGCCATACTGACTATTCCATGAAAATTAGTAAACATTAAAGAAACAAAAGCAAAATAGTTGAAACTTGTCAAAATTCGCGTTTATATTATGTTGGTCTTATGTGTTCGTATACATATGTACAAAAATATATATAAATGAATATTCATACATGGGTGAAAGCAAAATGCTTTGCTATTGTATTATCATCAAGATCAAAATTTGAAAAATTTAGGAGCTCATAATTTAACTTTACTATGACTAAATTAGAAAGAGATTTTTTTGAAAGCTTTGACTTTAAATTTGTTAACACTGTAGATAATGCGCTAAATGAACGCTCCACAGAAACCTGAGTTGCAGGCAGGGCTAATATAGTTTCTACAATTAGCGTCAATTCCTTTTCTCTGTCACACGATTTTCGCCAATACTCAAGTACATTGGTACCAAAGGACAATCTTTCTCCTTCACAAAGTCTCATTAGTTTCAGTTTAGTGCTCGCTGCCAGGCCTTGAGATGATAACTTTTGTGTGTTCATTAAATTTTGGACGTGAAGATCCAGCTTATCGTAAGCACTCGCCGATGAAGTGGGAATGTCGTCTTGGGAACTGGAACTTGATGAATTGGAACATTTAATAAATTCCTGCTCATACGAATCACTGTCCAAATGCTTCACCATTTCATATACTTTAAGCAAATGATCCTTTAAAAAGAAATTATTGAAAATCTAAAGCATAAACCATGTAAGTGTGTAATATATATGTATATATATATATATATATATCGCACAGTTTCAAATAAACTAACAAAATTTCATAACGCATGTACATACACTGGCGGCAGAAATAATAGAGTCGTACTTTTATGAATTTTGCCTACATTTCTTTAGTTTATTTTATGTTTAATATTTTTTATAAAAGCCTACGTAGCTATACAACAAACATCATATAAATCCGCTTTTCAAACTTTGAACAAAAATTATAAAAATTCTACGAATTTTCAAACTTTTTATTCAGAATTTTAAGAAACATTTTTGGTATGCAGTCTTATATCTCATTCAATTGTAGTATCATAAAGTTCAAGTTTAAAGTGGCTAGGAAATACCGTTGATTTTTGAATTTATTTTTTTTTTGACGATGCTAGGCATTCTCTTCTATATAAATTTTCGAGCACACTTTGTATCGGAAAAATCCGTGACACCGTCAGCAAAAATTCTTCAAGATCAACGGTATTTTGTAGCCAGTTGAAATTTGCACTTTATTATACTAAAATTGAATGGGAAACAAAGCTATCAATCAATATCAAAAATTTGTTTAAAAATTCTGAATAAAAATTTTGAAAATTTGGTGATAATTTTTCGAATTTTTATAACTTTTGCTCAAAGTTTGGAAAGCGGATTTATATGATGTTTGTTGTATAACTACCTGGGTTTTTATAAAAAAAAATATTAAACATAAAATAAACTAAAGGAACATAGCCAAAATTCTAAAAAGTACGACGAGCCCATTATTTCTGCCGCCAGTGTATGTATTTTATTGCCATAAAATAGAGAGGCTCTACTTCCTTAAACTTACAAAATTTAAGTTCCTTAGTTCCTAGTTTTTTCTAAACCATTTTTTTATTTTTAAAAAACTAAATTTTTTATTGCAATAGTAATTTTTTCAGCATTCACAGAGAAAATTATACAGGTAAAACGCAAGTTTTTAAAATAAATTGTAAAATAAAAGTTTTTGAAATAATTTTACTTCATACAAAATAAAAAATACAGTATTTGTATTTACGACTTTAAAACGAAACATTCGCAAAACAAAAACGATCGTTATAATATATTCACTTCTTTACTGAGGAGAACAGACAAAATTAAAGAAATAACGGAAAAAATGCGTATTTTCAAAATTAAAATGAAATATTTGAGGATTTTCTCCCAACGAATTGTAGTGCGACACAATTTTCAACAAGTAAAATAAAACTATACACTTTTAAAATAAAAAATTGAATTTATTTTCAGTCAATTAAGTATGAAAAATATTTAAAACTAAAATGTTTTGCATTAGAATTTAAAAAGCTACCTAGCTATAATGAAAAGCATTTCATATGTTTGCATCATTTGTCGAGAAAATTGTGTTGATATAAATAAGTTACTTCAATCTTCAAAAAATGTGATGAAGTATATACAAACAATACCGCCATTCTAACCACCTAACTACATGGAAGGGACATTGGTGATAAGGTGGACTTATGTATGTATGTATATAGTATTTGTAAAACATCTGTATTTTATTTATTAAATTTTGTAACTCATTTATAAGTATATATGTATATCAACATATTTTTGACAATGTGTGTACCAAACAACTTGTTGTGATTTTATAAAAATAAGATTTGAATATCATATTTAAAAATGCATATTTTTTAAGTGAAGAAAAAACATTTTAGGATTTAATTTCAACATGCGCATATTCAATTATCAAACGATCGTTTTTAAAAAAGATTTGAAAATTTGCGTACCAAAAATAAAAACATGGATTTTGGGAATTGAATTGAAAATTTTCGTTCTCAAAATTTAAATAAATATTGTAGGTGCAAAACCTGGATCAAAACGTTTTTAAAAGTAAAACGTTCCATACAAATTTGAAAACGAAAATTTCTCTGTGTTTTCCACAAAAATTTGCGAAAGATAGGCAAAGAAATCGAATTCAAA